ACTGTATGAACCCCATTTATATAAAATTCTAGAAAATGTAAGGTAACTTGTGACAGAAAGCAGATTGAGTCAGTGGTTGCCTGGGATTGGGGGGAGGGTGAAGGAGGAAGTGAGGAGGAAATAGGGCATAAGAGATGATATACCAAGAAGGAATAATAAAAAGGCACAAAGAAAAGAAGGGGAAAAAAGAGCACAAAGAAGCTTTTGATAGTTATTGATAATGTCCATCATTTTTTGTGCATGTGTATGCACAGATGCATCCATATGTTCAAATTATCAAATTATATACTTAAAAATGTATAGTTCATTGTATGCTAATTATACTTCGATGAAGTTGTTTAAAAAAATGAAAACAAATCAGATATAGTTTTAGCAGTAGTGCCAAACAGGCATGTGTAAGAAAACCCCATTTTTGTTCATTAAGAAAACAAGTGTGAATAGTTGTTGCCTACAAGTTTGGATTTAAAAACAAACTAAACCCCCCTGCCACTCCCCAAAGGTAGAATCATATTATCCTGAAGGTCTTATCACATCTTTCTATTGGCCTCGTGATTTTGAGACAACAGAAAAGTGTTAAAGTTAGTTCATAATATGACCTTAGACAGTTTCCACTTAATCTTCTGATTGTATAATTTTATGATACTACTAATACATATTTCATACATCATTTCCAGGACAGTGTGCCAAACTAACTTCCGCGGTAAGAGTAACCTACTACAAAATACAAATAACCCATTTCAATCTACTTATTTTAAAGTTACTTTCTGTATAATTTTCCGTGTAAGATAATAACTAAATTTGTAGTTTTCAGTTCACTTTTTACACAACAAAAACAAAGTCACAAAATTATTTGGAAAACATGACCACTGTCAGAAAAATAAAACTAAAACATCATTAAGCATAAATATTGTGAGGAAGGGAATTAGATTTTTATTTCTTGAGCAAATGATGAGTAATAAAAATAATATATGAATTCTTTAACATGTCAATGAATCAATGGTTTGTAAGTATTTAGAATTAAAAATATGATCACCAGAAGACAGCACCTCATTCAACAGATATTTTAAGTACCTAATATGTGTCAGGCACTAACTGGTAATGTCCTTTATCATGAGCAAAATTCCTGTATATACAGAGGTCTGTTTCTGTCCTTTAATCAGGGGTTAGCAAACATTTTAGGTGAAGAGTCACACAACAAAACCAGTCAGCTCTGTCTTGTAGCACAAAAGCACCATACACAATGTGTAAATGAATGAGTACAGCTGTGGTCCAATGGACACTGAAATTTGGACTTCATATAATTTTCATGTCACAAAGTATTCTTTTCTTTTCTTCCCAAGCACTTAAAAATGTAAAAACCACTCTTAGGTCACAGGCCATATTAAAATAAGTGGCCAGCCAGATTTGGTGACCCACGTTCTAAATCCTTACATTTTTATACTCCCCCCAATTTTTTATATTTCTAAAATTCCCTAAAATACATACATGTGATTAAAAGGTTAAACATAAGGCCATACCACTGTATGGTATGGCCAATCTCTCCTTTCTATCCCAGAGATACACTTCCCCTCTCCAGTTTTGTGTATCCTTCTAAACCTATTGCCACTATTACACATTTCGGCATAAATAACTTTATATATACATGACTTTCCACACATTATTTCATACAGGATAAATCCCTGTAAATGGAACTACTGGGTTATAGTTTCTTAAAGAGTTTATTCTAACATGTAATTGGTCTGTATGCATAGTTTCTCCCTTGCACATGATAAGCCTTCCCCAGCAACTTCAAATCACACTGAATGTTTGTTCCAAATTATAGACTTTAGGCCCTGGCTAGGTAGCTCAATTGGTTAGAGTATTGTCCTGTTGTTCTGATATGCAAGCAACCAATGAATGCATAAATAAACAGAACAACAAACTGATGTTTCTCTCCCTCTCTTTCTCTCAAACCAATAAATAAATTTTTTTTAATTATAGACTTGAAAACTATACCTACTCTGTTTTATAAATGCTTTCTTTGCATTGCATTGCATTAAATTTCTTAGCTGTAGTTAAAAATACGTTGGAGTTGAGAAATAAGTTTTACCATTTTCTTTGATCACTATTTCTTAAATTCCACATTTATTTTTCTTGGATTAATTTTTTAAATTTGATATAGCCCATCCTAGAGTATTCCTAGTGCATATGGATAAAAGTGACTTAATTTTGCTTCACTTTGAATGCCCGTTCAGTTATGGATAAGATTCTGAGTCCCATGAGCACATTTTAGTTGAATGACTGTCCCACTGTCATTTAACATTCCATGTCCAGATTAGAAGTCTAATTGCAAGTCTGATTTCCATTCCTTTATAGATAACCATATGCTTCTCTATGGCAGCTTATGAGTTTGTATATTTATAAAAATTTCATCAGAATGTATCTATGTGTATCTATCGATATTCTTTTAAGACTCTCTGTATGTCTTTCCATTCATAAATTCAAATATTTGTACTCAAGAAACATTTCCTTGATTTCTTCCTTTAATCCTTTGACAATACCTTGGTTCCATTCCATCATAAAGTAGGAATGAGAAAGCTGGCATCTATTGTGAGTTGTGAGGGGAGGAAAATAGCGGAAAGGGGCTGCTAAAACAGCCAGAACTCCTAAATCTGTGCCACATCTTTCCACAAGCTCTGAAAAGATATTTTTCTGATCATTCCCATTGTACAGATGAAGAAATAAACCAGACATGGAAGTACTGATTTATGTTTGCTAGTACTTTGTCTCATAACTGATACATCTTTCTGTTTGGGTTCCACTGCCCAAGACTCTGCCTGGGAATTCCTACCCTCATGATCTCTGTCCTTTCTGTGGTTATTTCTCCTCTTCCAATTTCTATTAACTCCTGAAACTCGTATAGGATGTAAAATGGCTCTTCTGATCTACCTGTCATGGCTATTTTTTCCAATTTTCTATGATTTAATATTGAATAACTTACTGCTTATGTTCAGGGCAGCTTGTATGTGTTCAAAAGGCATAATATCCTCCTAAATCTAAGCATACTAAATAACATTTATTTTGAAGTTTCTTCTGTTTCTTACATTAACTCCACTGTTTCAAGTCAAGTTCTCATATTTGTTCAGTCTGGGGCCTCTCTCACAAGTTTCTGATTTCCCACAAATGCATAGTGATTTTGTCATCTGTTCCCATTACAAATGTATCAGTATCTTAGTACCCTGGAAATCACGGTACTCTGGTAGTAAATTCATATTTGTAATGAATCCTATAACTCGTTTATATATTTATACCCATACTTGTGTAGTATGACAATAAAAATGCAGTAAGTTCTTTGATTTGCAACCCCATGTTTCTTCAATCCATTTTTTATCATATCTTTTTGGTGTTTCATTTCCCCTAACAACAACTAACTTGAGCAACATAGCTCTTACCTAAGTGTTATACAACAGACTTCAGGGACATATCATCACCAGCTTTTACAGACTTTCCTAAGAAACACTTAAAAGAAGTAATGATAGTCTGGTAGAAAATCATCATAGATACTGCAATCCAAGGAGTAAATAATAATAAGATAATGAATCACTTAAGTCTTGAAATCATAACAGTTTTGCCTTTTACTAATCTTTAATGTTATAGAAGTTAAAATAAGGCATTCTATTTAGGAAGGCTTCATGTTAAAAATAATTTTCCACCTATCTTATGACTCAGCCATTCCATAGCTCACAGGAACATATACAGATGTTCACCAAGACATTACAAGAATGTTCATAGTATTCTTCAAAATATATGACATACAGATATTAGAAACAGTAATATAATATCAATTAACAGAAGAGTAGTCAAGTAATCAATGCAAATGAGTATTGCACAACAATAAAGAAGAATGAACTACTGTTACATGAAACATCATGGATGAATCAATCTCACAGTAGTGTGCTGAGCATACTGCACAATTCCATTTACATGAAGGCCAAAATAGACAAAACCAATAGACAAAAACAGAAATGCAGATACTGATTACCAGGCAAGGGTATTACTAAGCTGGAAGCAGCAGAGGGAAACTCCTGGGATGATAGAAATGTTTTATTTATATATATAAAGTTCATCTAGTTAGTGGTTACACAAGTTAATAAATATATTAAAAATTTCACTGAGCTGTACATGAATATTTATGTCCTTAGTGACTTCATATGTATTTCATACCTCTATAAAAAAGAAGAAAGTGTAATTTTCAAACTCGTTTAAACTTAAACTGTGCTTATATACGTCAAAATTCTCTGAGCCATAAATACTGGTAACCAACATCCCTTTTTACATTTAGTCACGTGACAATCTAAACAAATGGTATAGAATAATAACGCAAAGTAAACTTTAACATTCTTAGTCATAAAATACCTGGTTTCTCACTTCCCAGTTCGAAAGTACTATTTTAAATACAACATGAAAAGACCACATTAATTCTTCCATAAATTAAGACCCTACTCTTGAGAGCCTTCAATGATGGTTAACTGTCCAGAATGGTATATAATTCTCAATGAAGGATAAGAGTTTGATTTATAATCAAATTTTCGTTCTGCCAAAAGCATTGTCACAAACGAAAACATCGCTAGTGCGTTTACAAATTATTCCTCAGCAAATTGCTCTAAACTAGTGTAATTTTCAAGATGAACTCTGAAATGCCCGCGGCCCCCTCCGTGTGCTCGGCCCTCTGATTTCCACACAATTGTCCATCTTTTAAAGGTGCTGTCGTATGCCACGCAGGGCTGCTGTATGAGAACACTTGTTTTTTAAAAAAATGAATAAAAATAGACAAGCAGACCAACGATCTCTAGCAGCATCGTTCTCAAAATTCATACTGCACCGCAAACCCGCTGCTTTTCCAGACACGGACACGTCTCCGTGAGGCAATTCCACTAGTGATCCGACTGGAACAGAAACGCACAGCCCCCGAGCCACACCGGGGTCGCTGCAGTCGCAGGCGGGCCAGACCAAGTACTCACCGCGCTCCCCCGCTGCGCCGCGCCCTGGCCGCACCCCCTACTCCTAGCTGGCGAAGAGAAGTCCGGCAGCCAGGGGAATCCAGGGCCGCGTCCACACCCGCCACTTCCGGCTTGCGTGAGGAAACGGGGCCGCAGCTGCTGCGCATTCGAGCTCCACCAGTGCCAGTCCCCGAAGCCCCGCCCACTCTCCGCAGCCCCGCCTACGCCTGCCCCGGTCCGGTTTACTTCCCTGCCGGGGCCTACTGCAGGGCTTACAAAGCTCAATAACTGACCTACAGTATTAATTAATCAATTATCCGTCAAAAATATGTGTGTGTTGTGAATGTCCGTGTATATCCAAAAATGATTTGTGGAGGCAGAGTGCCCGAAGCAGGAAAGCGAATCTGCCCAAGCTATTGTCTGCAGAGATAGAAATTTCAGGTCAGGCCCACTGCTGACTGTCCTGCCCGGTGTCCTTTTCTGGCACCTGACAGGAGCGACGAGTGCCTGCCAGAGGTGTCTGACCATCCTCGGGAGCTGGACGGCCTTGAGACCCCAGCGAGGGGCCCTGGCCTAAGTAGTCACTGCACTTCCCTGGACCTGAGTTTCTTTACATGAAAATGAGGTAGTTGAGGTAGATATGCTGCGAAATGGTTTCTTAATCTCACGTTGTATGAATTTAGTGAAGGAAAAAAGAAAGGCTCTCTGTTCAACTACTTATTCCAGGAGTATTCCCAGGACATTTTTGCCCTGTGCTGACCTGGCACGAGAGGATGCTGGACAGCAACACCCCGCCTGCATCTGGATAGACGGGCTGTGATGAGAATGGCCCTGGGATGTGCCTTCCACTGCTCTGCTTTTCTTACCAAGTTGCCTTGGTAGGCTATTTAGGCTTAGGCTCTGTAAGCCTCAGTTTCCTTGGCTGCCTAGTGGGGACAATAACAATAGCATGTGACTCCTAAGGTTGTTGTGAGGAATAAACACAATTTTGTATCTGAATGTTTGGTGTTTTGCCTAGTAGGAGGTGGGCCGTGAAAGCTCACTGTCATTATTAAGTTCATTAAGTATTAAGAACAGAAGGCTAAGGTGAATTCCGGGAAGATAGGATTTGTTCCTAACAACACTTCTCCCAAGCTGGCCTAAGAGTAAAGAATTCACTAGTCATAGATTCCATGGGTATGTGAGCTCCTGAAGGTAAGGACCATGTCTTTTCATTTTCCAGTACTTCGCAAATAGTAAGTGTCCAATAGATATGAACCGAATTGATTAAAATAAGAACATGGAAGAATCCCTCCATTGTTTCAAATATTTGCTGCTTGGCCAGCTCCTCAAGGACACAGCGTGCCTGATTGAATTTACTGCCTGTCACAATTAAGCTTTCTGTCTGGTTTTTAGTTTTGCTCTAGCACAGAGATTAGCCTTGTGCAAGTCTACTGCCCTCTCTATGGAGTAGGTTATGGTCCTCAATTTACAATAGAGTAAACAGAAACTCAGTGCCTCTCCCAGCACAGGATATGATATGAAATTAAAGCAGTAGGATTCAGGTTAGCTGTCATGTCTTTTAAATTGTTATTTGACTCCTCCATTAGAACTGTTTTCAAAATAATTGAGGTTCTATCAATGGATTTAAATTGTTAGGTTATTATTATTTTGACTGCCAAATCAAATGTTAAATGTGTGTAATTTGACTTTGGAAAGAAGATAATGCATAATTCAAATTTTATGGAAGATAATGGATGACATACAGGGGCTTCCAAATTAGTAGTTCCCTTGGGAAAAATACTAAAGTACAATTATGGTATGAGTAATATCAGAAGAATGTGATTTTTCTTGAAAAAAAAAGACATTTTTCCCAAATCTCCAATCTGATGCTTAAAAAAAAAAAAACCATAAAGCTTTCCCACTTTCCTAGCCTTTTTGTCTCTGTCAAAAGCAAGCAATGAGGGATGACTTCATTGCTACAACAAACCTGTTTTTCATTTCAGTGATCTTCCTACAGAAATTTATTCTCTCATGGCAGGGCCACATTGCCTCCAAAGGCTCTAGGAAAGGATCATTTCTCAACTCTTCTAGCTTCTGGTGGTTGCTAGCAATCCTTGGCATTCTTAGGCTTGTACATGTATCACTCCAATCGTAACCTCCATCTTTATATGGTATTCTTCCCTGTGTTTTCTTTGTGTACAAATTTCCCTCTTTTTCTAAGGACACCACCCTAATCCAGTATAACCTCATCTTGACTGCATCTACGAAGACCCTATTTACAAATAAGGTCGAATTCACAAGTTCTGAGGTTGAGAATTGGAACATATCTTTCTGTCAGACACAGTTCTACCCACTATGTACTACAACCTCATGAATTTCTGGTAGATACAAGTACTACTCTTTCTGCATTTAACCCTGCCATCTTTGCTCAGCCTCTTTTGGGGGAGTAAACATAGACACAGGCATTAAACATTTCAAATAAGCCACAGATTTTTCTCTATTTCTCAACCTTTAACTGTAAGCCCAGGACCCTTGATTGCAAAACATTCCTTCTTGCTCTGTGACACCCTTCTACATATTTAATAAGCAGAGTCTTTGCAACTTGAAATGAACACCAAGAGTATTTGTGATTATTTGTGAGATTCCAGAGGACTCCTCTATTTATAAGCAAGTTCATTCTGTTCAGAACGTATCTTTGCTTTCTCCATTATATTTGATGCATATGCCAGGTAAGTATTTGACACTGTGCCTAATACTGGTATGGGAAAAATAATTGGAACAAAACCTATTAAATTCAGATAAAACCTACTAACCATCACTCAAATTTCCCCATATCTTTTGAAGCCAAAAGTAAAAGAAAGAGTCAAACCTGTAGTTGAAGCCTCAGATCCAAGGTCTTCTCACACCCTGCTCTAGCCCTTGTAATACATCCATCCTGGAGGTAAAGAAACCAAGTGGACAGGGACATCCATTTGTTTAAGACTAAATGGCTACCAACAAAATTATTATTCCTCATTTCTTCAAGCTCAGATACCATCCTGCAAACCACTTGCTGAAGATACTTGCTATAGTGAATCTTTCCTCAGCTTTTTCCAGTGTTCTTATGGAACAGGACAGCCAATAACTTTGTGTGTGTGTGTGTGTGTGTGTGTGCATAAAATCTATCATTTTAACCATTTTTAAGTTTACAGTTCAGTGGCATTAAGTACATTCACATTGTTGTGCAACCAGCACCAACATCCATCTTCAGAAATTTTTCACTACCCTAAACTGAAACTCAGTATCCATTAAACATTAACTTCCCACCCTGGCTGGTGTGGCTCAGTGGATTGAATGTGGGCCTGCAAACTAAGGGATTGTGGTTCGATTCCCAGTCAGGGCACATGCCTGGGTAGCAGGCCAGTTCCCAGCGGGGGACACATGAGAGACAACCATACATTGACATTTCTTTCCCTCTCTCTTTTCCTTCCCCTCTAAAAATAAATGAATAAAATCTTTAAACAAACAAACAAACAAACAAACACTAACTTCCCACTTTCTCTTCTTCCAGCCCCTGGCAAACACCATTCAACTTTTCTTTTTACGAATTCACTGATATAAGTATTTCATATAAGTGGGATCATACAATATTTTCCTCTGTGTGTCTGGCTTATTTCACTTAGCATGTTTTCAAAATGTATCCATGTTATATCATGTCATAATTTCATTGTTTTAAAAGTTGAATAATGACAATCAATAGCTATTTGCTTTTATCTGGTGAGGACAACAGTCCTCCTGGACAGTTGACTGAAGCTTACTGCTATTTTATTTGGGTCTTTAATCAAGACTTAAATAATCAGCCCTGGTCAGTGTGGCTCAGTGGATTGAATGCCGACCTGTGAACCAAAGGGTTGCCAGTTTGATTCCCAGTTAGGGCACATGCCTGGGTTGCACACCAGGTCCCCAGTTGGGGGCGCTCAAGAGGCAACCACATATTGATGTTTCTCTCACTCTTTCTCTCTCTCTCTAAAAAGAAATAAATAAAAAAATTTAAAAAGAATTCTATAATAAAAAATTTCCTTATGATTCAGGTCTTATACAATTTGTAGAAGGTCTCCTGCTTTGCTGAGAGGATTCTATTTATTCTGACCCTTAGCAGAATATAGACATAAAGTTTCAAAAGATAAATCACAATTTTGCCAAAACAGTTCATTTTTTAGGGCATGACTCTTCTAAAGGAAAATAAACACTTTCTTCTGATAAACTAAAAGTTATCCAGATTTATCCTAGGCCCCTCACAAAGCTACATTTGAGAGAAATTTCAGGTTTAATTAGATATTATAGACAATGGGATACCAAATTTTTTTCTGTGACTGTGCCACTTTTTAATTAAAAATTTAAATTAAAACAATGTGTAATTACAGCTGGCATTCAGTATATTTTAAATTACTTTTAGATGTACAGCATAGTCATTAGATATTTATATAATCTATTAAGTGATTTCTCTGATAATTCTAGGACTCATTTAGCCACATACATAGTTATTGTACAATATTATTGACTATATCCCCTATGCTTTACTTTATATCCCCTTGACTATTTTGTAATTACCAATTTGTACTTATTAACCCCTTTACCTTTTCTACGCAGTCCCCCATCACTCTTCCATGTGAAAACAGTTTGTTATCTTTATGAGTTTGTTTCTGTTTTTGTTTGTTTCTTTATTTTGTTCTTCAGATTCCTCATATGAAATCATATGGTATTTGTCTCTCTCTACCTGACTTATTTCACTTAGCATAATACCCTCTAGGGTCTATCTGTATTGTCACAAATAGTAAGATTCCATTATTTTTTTAATGTCTGAGTATATCCAATTATCTAATGATTGACACTTAGGTGGCTTCCATAACCTGGGTATTGTAAATAATGCTGCAATGAATGTAGGGGTGCATGTGTCTTTTTAAATTAGTGTTTTGCATTTGTTCAGATGAATCCCAGAAGTGAAATAGCTAGGTCATATGGTAGCTCTATTTCTAATTTTTTTGAAGACCCTCCATACTGTTTCCATAGTGATTGCACTAACTAGCAATCCCACCAACAGTACACAAATGTTCCCTTTCCCCACATCCTCCAACATTTGTTGTTTGTTGATTTATTAATGTTAGTCAT